CCAGAGACCCCAGGGGTGTGAGGTCCCTGGGCTGAGTCATGTGTGCCCTCCAGGTCACAGGTCCCCAGTCTGCTGTCTGTAAACAGAGGCAAAGGTGGCAGCTCCCCAGCAGCTCATCTGAACCACTCTTTGTGCCAACTGAAGCAGCTCCTCTGCTTGACCCTTGCTCTGAGGTGCCTCTGCTTTGCACTCTGATTCTAATTTAGGAGGCTTCCTCTCTGCCTGGCTCCTGGGAGCCTTGCGCCTGGCATCAGCATCTAAACCCTGCATTTCTGATTCTGGAAGATTAACACTATAGCTCGAGGTCCCCATCTTAGCTGTGCCAGCAGCTCTGATACCCAGGATCTGCCTCTGGCTCCCTGATTACAGCTCTGGGCAGTGTTGTTGTTGACCTTTCCAGATTCCATTCATTGCCCTTCCTCCTCTAGGTGATCAGCCTTGAGACCTGAGTTCAGAAAGAGACTGTACTTATCCTGATACCTGTGGCTATGAGGCCTGGGCTTCTCAAAAAGCAAAGGGAACTACATTTGCTGAGTCACTTCCATGCACCAGGCATTGTGGGAGAGACTTTGATTCTCAAGGCAGTTCTAGGGAACATCACTGCCGCCATTCTACAGATAGACAAACTGAGGCTCTGACAGGTTCCGTTTGTCACCCGAGCCTCTGCTCACTTTTCTACCTTATTCAGCTCAGGAATAAAGAACAACTGAGTTCTGAGGGACTTGGGGGCACATTCCATAAAAAAAGCAAGATGAACCCTCACCTTTCACAGAAGACCATGGAAGAAAAGACCTCAGCCCTGTTCCCTTAACTCTAATTGAAGCACTCACTCGAGGATTAGTTTCTCCTTGCCAGGATACCACAAGCTCTGGCTCTCAGAGAGGCAGATGGACAAGTGCATAGGATCCTGCAGGTCTCAAGGCCCTAGCTTGTGGTCTTGGAGGGAAGGTCATCTTACCTTCTAACCCTTGAGATCTGCATTATGGGAAAGGCAGGACTACATGACCTATGTGACCCTTAAGTTTAATCATTCCACATGGCACCCCAGATCCTTAATTCAAGAAGATGGTGATGAACATGATGCTAAGGATATTAATAAATCAAAAAATGAACATTTATTGAAAGCCTGTTACACATAGACATTGTCTTTTGCATTTTATTTGGATCATGTGATTTCACCTTGCATCAATCCCATAAGAATCAGTATTGCTCCTTTTTTTATAGATGAGAAAACCGAGCCTCCTAGAAACACACAGCTAGACATTGGTGGAGCTGGGAATCATGCCCAAGCTCTCTGACTCTGTGATCTTAGTGACTATTCAAGGCCCTTGTCTACTGTGCTATCTAAAATACTTTGCCAGACCTACTCTCCTGAGCCCTGGTTTCAAAGAACAGGGCATGCTTTTCCAAGGAGAGGCAGACTGGGAGTTAGAAAGTTGGATTTCACATCCATGGCCCTAATCTGGATGTCCATGGCTCAGTTTCCATCCATACAATGGAAGAGAGCGAGAGCGAGAGAGAGAGAGTACTTGTTTTAATCCAATGTAAGAGATTTTCAAAGACAGGAAATAAAACAAGTTTCCTGTAGGAAGATTGCCTATATGGGCAATCCATACCCTGAGGATGTCCCCACCACTGACTCAGTTTCTCCCTCCAAGATGTCCAAGTGAGACGACAAGTGTAGCAAGATGTGTCCTTTTCTTCACTGACTCATCTACATTCTCTTATTCATCTTCACTCCGTAATTCATTTACCCATTCATAAATTCCTTTCATCCTTTGAGGGAGTTAATTCATTCAGATATTCACCCATCTCCCCACCCACCATTTATTTATCTACTCAGTCATTTCTCCATTCACCCACTTATCTATCTTCCCTCCCATCCATTCATCGAGCCATTCGCCTATTTATTTCTCTACTTACTAATTTATTCATAAACTCCATTCATCTATCCTTTTATCCATCTTTCCATGCAACTAATTCTCCATCTACCAACCTACAAATTTACCATCCATCCATCCATCCATTCATCCACCCACCCATTTATCATTCTATCTAACTCTCCATTTTTTTCTCCTATTCATTCCTCCAACATGTTTTGACCACCTGCTACGTTCTAGGCCCTGTATTCTGTGCTGAAGATAAAGAGGTAAATAAATAAGTTCTGTCTTTGAAGAGATCAAACTGAAATGGACAAGACAGTGACCCAAAAATAGGCAATTGCAATAGGATATGAGAAAGAAGGTAAATTAAGAAGCACAGGATATGGGATTTGTAAGGAGGATCTCTATGGAGATAAGTCAGAGAAGCCTTCTCCAAGGAGCTGACATCTGGCCTGGCTTTCAACAGGTGTGTAGAAGTTAGCAAAGGGGAACAGGCAAAGTCAGTGCTAAGCAAAGAAACTGCATCCATAAACGCAAAAAAAATCATGAAAGAAAACAAAGCACCAGAGCAGCGGTTCTCAACCAGGGGTGATCCTTGTACTTCAGAAGAGAATAAGCAATGTCTAATAAACTTTTGATTGTCACAGCTGAGAGGTAAAGGGAGACAGGTACTACCAGCATCAAGTAGGTAGAGGCCAGGAATCCTGCTAGACACCCTACAATACATAGGAGAGCCCCAACCCCAAGATAAACAATTAGCCAAACTAAAACTTCAATAGTGTCAAGGTCAAAAACTGAAAAACCTACTTTAGAAGGACAACAAATGGTTCAGGATGGTAGGTGTGAAGAAAGGAGAAAGCAAAGAGAAAATCCTAGGGAGATAAACAGGAGCTAGATCAAAGATAGCAAGTGTTTATTGAACATTTACCCTGCAGGAAGTTTTAGCATGGGTGCTGGGGACCCAGAGATAAAACAGGATCCAATCACTGCCCTCCAACTTTGCAATCCTATTGGAGAAACGGCACACATCCATGAGGGAAGAGGAACCTCTAGGAATTGAGACCTTACTATGTACCAATCACTATACTAGAATCTTATATGATATGTCCTGGATTCCTTTTGATAATTCAATTAGGCAGGTTCCATTTTCCAGGTGTGAAAGCTGAATCTAAGAAATTTTTTTAATGGTTATAACAATCTTTAGGTCAAATCCAGTTGACCATCTGTTTTTTTAATATTTATTTTTTATTTTCATGTGGTGTTGAGGATCAAACCCAGTGCCTCGCGCATGCCAGGCAGGCGCGATACACTTGAGCCACATCCCCAGCCATCTGTTTTTGTTTTTGTTTTTAATAAATAAAATTTTATTGGAAAATAGAGGGGGAAAAAAACCTGCCTCTGTGTCACACAGTTAGTAGTGTGACAAGTCCATTCCACCCAGCCTGACAACTCAAGGTGGCACACTCAGAGCAAATTAATAGTAGAGATCCTGATGGAGAGGGTGGTCACAGAGTTCATGGGGAAAGCACAACTTGGCCTTGAATGAAGAAGAGGAATCAGATATGCAGGAAGGTCAGGGAAGAGGGAAAATAGAGTTAATAAAGGCACAGGTGAGCAAAGAATGTGGCAGGTTCTGGAAACCCTGGGAGGCTGGGGGACTGGAGGGTGGAAGAGGAAAAAGGTCCAATTGCAGCAAACTCCACGTGGGGCCCTGCAGGTTCAGGAAAGATGTATATAGCCGAGGGACAGAAAGGAGGTCAAGACATGAGCATTTGTAATATCTGAGGAATGAACAGAGAGGCGGAGGAGTTGAGAGGAGTTTGTTTTAAACCTGAGGTTTACCTCTATTCCTGGCCCTTCTGACTGTGGAAACTGCCTCTCCCTGTCCCCATCTATTTCCAAGAGGAAGGGTCAGCCAGAAGCCAAAGGAGAGCCTATTGTTGTGGCCTGCTTGGCCAGCCCTGGAGGGACAGAGCTGCTGTCTTTGGAGGCCCATATTCACCTCTGTTAAGAGAGTTGCTGCCACTCCCTCCACTCCTTTGCACTAACCACACGTTTTTCATGCACGCGCGCGTGCGCGCGCGCGCGCACACACACACACACACACACACACACACACACCAGACATGAGAATTTAATGTACACTGTTCATCAGATAAGGGAGACAGTTTGTTGAAGAAAATGTTTGCTGGGGCTATTGCTCTGAGCAGCACCAGGGTGAGTGGCTCAAAGAGAATCAATTTCATCCAAGAAATCTGAAAAGAGACAGGAAGGGGAGGGGCTCACTTCAGCAGTAGCCAGAGACAAGGCAAGGGAGCCACAGCTCAGGCCAGGAAAAATCCTTCCAAATTGAATTTCTGGCCCTGGTGGAGACAAGCCAGGGCTGCTGGCCAGAGAGGCCTAACCTCTGTGGAAGAACCCTGGGTTCCTGGGTCTGAGAGTCACCTTTGGCCTCTAAGGAGGCACTGAAAAGGAGAAAAGCATTCCAGGAGGATAGTGCTCCTCTGTAGACTACCCCACCACTGATATCTGGAGACCTCCTTTTCTCCTTCACCCTTAGCATCTTACTCCCTCCTGACTGGAAATGAGGAGTTCCAGAGACTCTACCTCCAGAACAAGGTCTTAGAGGTGGGACAATTCAGACAGAAAGGCAGGAGGCTGGAACAGGGGCATTACCTTCCACCTGTGAAGGCTCCAAGGAGGAGGCAGCTTCAGGCCAGGCTTCACTGCACTGGATCCAAAAGGAATCTTTAATCACTCCTCTGTGGGCTGCTCTGAATCTCCGGCAAAGCCCTCCCTTGGACATCACTTGGAGAGCACCTGAGTGGGTGGTGCTTGTTTAACTGTGAGGTCATGATCAATACTATGTCTACAAAGGAGCATGCTGGGGAAGTGATGGCCAGATTGTGTGTATGCGTATACCCGCGTATGCTTGTGTGACTATGCACACTGCGTGTGCGTGCCTGTGAGTATGTGCGTGCAACTGGAGCATGGAGCCGAATTCTGCCCAGTCCACTGCCCTGATAGCCTCTCCAACTCTGAGCTGATGGATCACACACCTTCTGGCCTGGGGTAAGAAGGCCGCGAAGAAATCTTCCCTGCGACGCGGAGCTGTTTATGTCTCTGGCGGCTGTGACTGGAGAAGGCGAGCGGCAGCGGCCCCCCATAGCTAGCACCCAGGGCTTGGCCCGGGGCTGCGGCGGGCCAGCGCGGGCGGAGCTGCTGGGCCTCGCGCTGCTGGGCCTCGCGCTGCTGCTGGGCCTCGTGCTGTACCTGGTGCGTGCAGGACCGTTGGTAGCGTGGCTGGCCGTTGGGGCTACCACGGTCTGGTGGCGACTGAGCCGCGAGCCCCGTGGCCCGCGCGCCGTGCCGTCGTCGTCGTTCGTTCGCAGCCAGCGAACACTGCTCGTCTCGCCTCTGACCAACGCGGCAGCAAACGGAAAGCTCCTAGAGCCTTGGACTCTGTTCAAAGGACTCAAACCCGCTGAACTGCTCCTCATGGGCAGCTACCTGGATAAGCCCGGCCCTCCGCAGCCTGCCACCGCGTAGGAGGGCAGGGACCTGAGGGAGCGGCCTGTCCGCCGCCTGCCCACCCGCTCCTCGCCACCTACACCTGCGGCCCAGCGGATCCCGCAGCGCGGTTACCCCTCTCTCCCGACCCCTTTCCACCGACCCCCCAGGAGGTCTATGCATAGGGATTGTGGGACTTTAGCCAATCCCTTTGTGATAGCTCCTCCAAGACACCATCCAATTCAGCAGGCCCAGTATTCCATGGTAGGGGTACTGCCCACGGTGTGCTGGAATGGTTGTCAGAAGAAGGCTGTGCTTTCGGTTCGGAACTCAAAGATGGTGTGCAGCCCAGGGACTGTGAGGATTGCCCCTCCGGATAGAAGGTTAACTCGTCGTCTAATACCAGGGCGGTTAATCAACTCAACCCTGCCCTCACCATCTGGTAATGTCCCAGACTCATGTGCAAAAGAGAATGGTCTCAAAGAGGGGAAGAAAAGGATTGCGGAGGAAGACGACCAATTACTTGTTGATGGTCAGGAGAATAAGAGGAGACGCCAGGATAGCAGTAGGAGTGGACAGTCTCCATCTGTGCCCCTGGTGGCCAATGGAGGCTCCACTTCTTCTGTGCCTAACCCTGGGTCTCTGAAAAGAGTTCTCCCTTCCCAGAGCTCAGGAGAACATTCGAGTAAGCGATCTTGTACCTCGCGGGTTAGCTCCCTGACAAGCACGTGCGGCGTCCGTTGTTCCGGCTGCAATAGGATCACCAGTTCTTACAGTTCTACCGGAGGCATCTCTCGCCAGCAGCTGTGGAAGAGGAGTGGCTCCATTTCATCTCCCTTCTCTAGCCCAGCTTCCTCCCCAGAGAGGCCAGCCAAGAAAGCGAGAGAAGAGGAGCCACGTCAGCATTCCAGTTCTTCGACTCCTCCAGTGGCCAACAAGGAGTCCCAGGGAGAGAGGGCTGTGGACACTCCCACTCAGAAGCAGCAGAACTCGGGGGCTTCCCCATCTACACCCGGCAGCTCCAGACAACGGAAAAGGAAGATTCCACTGCTGCCCAGGCGTCGGAACCAACTGACCTTGCCTTCACCACCTCAGCTTGGTTATCCCATCACGGCTGAGGACTTTGACCTGGAGAAGAAAGCTTCGCTCCAGTGGCTGAACAAGGTCTTAGAGGACAAGACTGATGTTCCTCCTCTGAAGTTGGTCAGTGAGAAGCCACCCGACACTCAGCCTTCTTTCACCCTGCCTGCTGCGAATACCACTTTCTCAGCAGCCTCCTGGCCAGCCGTAGGCACTAGCCTGAAGAAGACGCAGAGTGTCCCAGGGCCATCCCTCCCAGAACCTTCATCTCTGAAGACACCCAGTCTTCTGGACTCTCTTGGCTCTTTACCATCAGGGCCCCTGCCAGAAACCTCTTCAGACTCAAAACCCACAGCCACTTTTTTGGGACTGGTCCCTGCTTCCTCCACAGCACCAGTCGCTGACACCAAGTCACCTCCAGCCCTTCAGGCTGACACATCTACCCCCTCTCCCATGCAAGGAGTGCTGTTTGGTGGCATGTCAAACAGCAAGACCTCTGACCCTTCCTCCCCAGGTGCCCTAGCCATGTCTTCTCCCACCTTCAAGCCTATTTTTGCAATGGCACCTAAAAGTGAGAGTGAAGGCCCCTTGCCATCCAGTCTAGCCAACCTCCCCACGATGACCACCAGCACTACCACCTCAACTTTTAAGCCCATCTTTGGTGACCTAGGGCCATCTGTGGCTGTGCCCTTTCCTGCTCCCTTTTCCTTTAAGCCAACAACTGCTGTGACGGCTGCTGCAGCCCCAGCTGCCCCTCTGTTTGCTGGCCTGGCCACTGCCACCTCTGTCGTGGCTACCACCACCACCACCACCACCACCACCACCACCACTACCAGTGTGTCCAAATCTGCTTTTGGCTTTGGGGTCAACAGTGTGGCCAGTACTGGGAGCTGCATAACTAGCAGCATGACTTCCGCCTCTCAGCTCTTCCCCTTTGGGGTGGCCCCTGCTTCTGTCACCAGCTCTGCCAGGGCCAGTTTGGCAGGGCCCCCATCAATGCAGACATCCACAGCAGTGACCACCTTTGGCCAGTCTCTGCCTGGTGCTGTTCAGATGGCAACCAGCAGCAGCAGCAGCAGCAGCAGCAGCAGCAGCAGCAGGAGGAGCACTGCTGGCTTCCGTGGCTTCGGTGGCTCCCTCACAACCTCAGCCCTGGCCGCCACCTGCCAGCCTACACTGACTTTCAGTAACACAACCACTCCTGCATTCAATATTCCCTTTGGCTTAAGTGCCAAGCACCCAGTCGCAGCATACCCAGTAGTCATCCCCCAGCCCAAATTTGGGGCTGCCAATGGGCAGCAGCAGAGGTCCACCAAGCCACCCCTAACCCCAAGCTTTGGCAGCCCTTTTCCTTTTGGGAACTCTGGGGCCCCTGCCCCATCTGTAGCACCAGTGCTAATGCCAATGTCAGCGCCCGCGGCAGCGCTGGCCCAGCCAGCCCAGCCGGCCTTTGGCAGCTCAGCGCAGACGGGTTTTGGCTTGAAAACCACAGCCTCAGCCTTCAGCGTCCCTGCCAGCACAAAGAAAGCCTTTGGTGTAGCCACCACCTCTGGCTTCAGAGCTACCACCCACACCACTAGCAGTGGGACCAGTAGCTCAGTGTTTGGCAGCTCAACTTCGTCCCCTTTCACGTTTGTGGGACCTGTAGCCCCAAGTGTTGGGCTCAGTGTGGCTGCCCCAGACACCAACTCCACCTCTGGGGCATTCAATTTTGGACCTGGACAGAGTGGTACCACAGGAACCACCACCCCCTTTGTGGGGGTCTTAAGTCAGAATGCCCTGGGGATTCCCAGCCAGGGCACACCATTTGCCTTTAACGTGGCCAGCACATCTGAGAGCAAACCTGTGTATGGAAGCATCTCCACACCTACCTTTGGGCAGAGCACCCTAACTGCTGGAGTGGGCACAGCGGGCAACAGCCTTTCCTTTGGGGTGTCCTCTATACCCACCCAAGGCTTTGTTGGAGTTGGGTCCTTTGGATCAGCAGCCCCTTCATTTTCCATTGGTGCGGGACCCAAGACCCCAGGTGCTCGACCAAGACTGCAGGCCCGAAGGCAGCACACCTGTAAGAAATAGATTCTGTCCCTGTCCCCACCTTCATTCCCCTGTCCCCGTCTCCAATCCCCTGTCCCTGTCTCCAATCCCCTGTCCCCATTTCAATTCCCCTGTCCCCACCTCCATTCCCCTGTCCTAGTTTCCATTCCCCTGTCCCAGTCTCCATTCCCCTGTCCCAGTCTCCATTCCCCTGTCCCCCTCCCCATTCCCTTGTCCCTGCCCAAATCTGGACCTCAGCACCTACTAGGAAGAGCCTCTGACTCTTCAAGTTCCATAAAACAAAACTACCCTAGATCTCTAGCTTCAGCCACCAGGGTGGTGGTAGCAGCCCAGGGGCTCTTTCCCTTCTGGAGGAAGCAGGCGCCTCAGGGAGGAAGCAGGCAGTGGCAGGGCCCAAGCCTGATACCTGTACTTGAACAGTTGCACTGATGTTGAGAGCCGCAGCCGAGTAGGGATGGTGCCTGGCGTTTTGCCAGGGGGAGTGGTTGAGAAGTAGTGCCAGGGAGCCATTAGGATGGTGATGTTTGAGCTCTCCTGGAGTTCCTGGAGAGTTCGCGTGGGTGGTAGGTTCGAAGTTCGTTCCTGCGTGAATCTACAAGTGGCTCGTGACCTCCCGGTTATTTGTGCCCAGCCAAGCTGCGGGATGCAGCTGAAGAACTAAAGGAACATCTGTACATACTGTTGGCTCACTTCCCTGACTCATTTAGTATGTCACTTAGTCAGGTGGCCTCCCTTCCCACCTTTTCCCCCAAGAGCCATCCTTGCCAGAGCATGCAATGCACACAACTTGAATCTCTGTTGCATTTGGTGGGATTGGATAAAATGAATAATTTTCAGTCACAAGCGGGGAGGTCTTTTGGATCAGCAGCCCCTTCATTTTCCATTGATGGCGGGACCCAAGACCCCAGGTGCTCGACCAAGACTGCAGGCCTGAAGGCAGCACACCCGTAAGAAATAGCTTCTGTCCCCGTCTGCATTTCACATTATTTATAAGAATTATATAACATGGGCAAAAGGGACTCCAGTCCCTCAAGAAAGCTGTCTGGGACAGCACTTGAGCCCTTTCTTTACACAGATCACCCAACTGTGCAGCTAATTCCTGATCACCGGCATTCATACTTACCACTTCAATGAACCAAGATGGAAGGAATTTAAAAGCTTAAATACAAAAATGAATTTTTACTTTGTTAAAATATTTTTAGCACATGATTCTCCTAAAGAGGATGGGCATGGCAGCAGTTTTACTTGCTTGGCTGGGTTATAAGAAGTGGTTCTCTTCCTCTGGTCTTTTTGCCTGGGAGACCCCAGTGGGTGTTGCTCGGGCTGCCCCCTTTCGCCCTGCCAAGTCCAAGTCAAGTCTTATCTCCAGCCCTCTGCCAGTTTGGGCCCTAAAAACTTGGTGGCTCAAGGCTGTCAGGCTGGCAGAGCTGGGAGTGACTGAAGCTCCTGGAGAGGGCAGGATGCCTCCAACTGCCCTCAGCCGCCGGCTGCCTCCACCTGCTGGCCTCGCTGCCCATTGTCTGCCTCTCCTCTTTGGGAGGAGTATGAATTCCTATGCCTAAATTAAAAAAAATATATATTTAAACTTAAAATTTTAACAAAAATTTATTTTTTAATTTAAGCTAAATTGCCTTTTAAATTCCTCCAAGCTTGGTTCATTGAGGTGACTAAGTATGATTGCTGGTGACCAGGAACTAGCTGCATAGTTAGGTGATGCCTGTGTGGTGAAGGGGCTCAAGTGCTGTCCCCAGGCAGCTTTCCTGAGGGAGCGGAGCTCCTTCTGGCTGTGTTATATAAATCTTATAAATAATGTAATGGAGCTGTATCCTTTTGTGACTAAGGTCAAATATCTTGTGACAGGGGACTCCCACCCCAAGAACAGTGGGGCACCTGTGTTAGCCTGGCTCTGTGCCAGACTGAAAAAAGAACTGAGACCCAAGTCCCAAATTCCTGTTAGGGTTGGAGGGGTAAGAGTGGGCCACATGTTTAAAAATGAAGCTTCTACCTGTGCCTGATGTAAAGTGGATCCTCTTAAATTTATGAGCTAGTTTACCTCAGCTCTACCGGCAGGCCACTCGGCCCAGGAACACCTTGGTGGGGAGGGGGGCTGGTACCGCCTGGGCGTGGGTATGTATATATGTATATGTTTGTGCATTGGACAGAACAGGAGGCTGAGGTTTTTCCATTATAAATAAAAATTTAATTCCTGTTGAATCTAGTTGGACTTTTTAGTATGAATGTGAGATTTTCCTTCTTGCTCATGTCATTAAGAATAAAATTTTTTTTTTTTTAAAAAAAAGGACCTTGAAGGCCTGGAGTGAGGGACAGGACTGTGGACCCTGCCCCTACATCCTGGCAAAGCTCGTTCAATCCAGACTCTGGGGAGATATGTATCAGGTTTCCCAACAGCATACACAGCAGTGGAACTTTCCGAACACCATGCCACTATGTGGTCTGAATGAGGTGCCCCTTTATCTTTCCTCCAGGATTGCCACTCTGTCAAAGACCTTTAGGTGTCATTACAGGTATTACATCCACTAGAACTGTCGGGTGCAGTGCTGCAAAGTGCCTGGAAAAGCACCTGGCACGTACTAGGCGTGCAAGATGTACTTGTTAAAGGAATAAACTTTTGCTTTATTTATGCCTCACACTCGCCCCAAAAGAAAGACAGCTCTGTCTTAGGAATTTGCCAGGGAAGAAGCTAAGGTATAGTAACTCACACCAGGTCACTGAGCTTGTGAGGGATGGAGCTGGGGCTAGTATCCATGTCCTTCTCACTCCAGAGCTCATCCCATATTCATCCCAACATTATAGCATTTTAAACCATAATAAGAGGTATCATCTTAAACTTGGGGGTTGTAACAGATTACATAAGATACAATGTAAATCTGAACAGAATGAATTGCTGTGGCCAGGATCAGTCAAAGGAAAGAGGCCTAGTGGGAACTAGAAGAGGGGAGAAAGAATGGACAGGGATTTCAAAGAGCCCCAAGGTCTTGCCTCCAGGGTACATGGTCCACCCTGAAGAGAGGCCCTTCTCCAGTAGCCACAGCTATGCCTCATTAGGACACAAGGACATAAAACCCCTTAGGGCCAGGAACCCTCTTTCAATAAGACCTGGATCTGGTAGAACAGTGGCAACAGTGCAGAAGCTGAGCCACTTTTGAATGAAGGAAGATTCCCCTTCCCCCTGGCTACTGGCCAAGGCAAGACTTGCCGGTGGCCATTCATCATCTGGGACCTTGATCCTGCCCCACCCCTCCACTGCCCAGACACTCCATGGCAAATCAGCCACTGCCATTCTGGGGCGTATAGAAAGTTTAGACATCAGGAACAGGTTTCCTTGGGGTCTGATCCCCTTTGACCTCTAGCTCACCTGGGTGGGACCTGGTGCTACCACTCAGGCCAGTGCCTCTGAAATCCAGCCACCTCTATCTATGCCTTACATTCCTCTGCTTTTCAGCTCAGGCCTTTTGTCCCTCCTGGACATTCCTGACTGTCCCTAAGAGCTCACGCCAGCCCCTCCAATGCTGAACCCCAAGCAAAATCCCTGGCCCTTCCCCCAGAGCAGAGCTGCTCAAACCACTGCAGAGGGGTCAGGCTCTCCTGGCCATGGGGAGATCATTATTTTAGAATGTGCCCGCACCTTGAGGAAGTGTCAGGGCACAGAGCAGAGTGAAAATAACAAACCAACACCACCCGACAACGAACGCCACACAACAGGGACCTGACAAATGAAGAAAATAAAAGGGGGAAAAATGTTTAATGCTCTGAATCTTGACAGGGCCACAAGAGGTGAGACTGAAGTCTCCAAAGGGCAAGTTCTCCAAATTAGGACACTGTCCCTGTGGTACTGTGCTTGGCCCTCTTCCCTGTGTCAGGGGTCACCAGGCTAAGGCGTGCCAGTTTATTCAGAGGGCAGATGCTGGAGGTTCCATCTGGAGGGAGCGGCATTTACAGGCCACGTGAAATGATCCAAAATAGGGTCACCAGCCCCACGGTTAGAGAGGGAGAAGATGTCAAGGAGAAAAGCCCAATGGCACAGACAAAAGGGGAAGGTCAGGGCAGGAGAAGGGGTTGGACAGGGTTTAGAGAGGTTCCTGAGCCTAGGACAGCTTCTCCTACCCTTCTCATATCATGAGGGGTTTTGAAAGGGATGTCTGTCTTCACTGCCCATCTTCTACTCCTCCTGTTCTAGTAACAGTTTCCACTTCCCCTCCCAAGACCACCTCCCCCATGCTCAGTCCATGATTTAGGGTGGTGTCCCAGGGTATTACATCCCCCACCATGTCAATAACTCATAGACCGGCTTGAGAGTAATGCCGGTGGAGAAAAAGAAACTAGGGTCTGACCTCTTGGCAGAGGCAGGGCATAAGCTTCTTACTGGGAATAAGCTTCTTACTCCACCATGTGGAGTCCCCCCCCAAAAAAGGGCAAGATCAATGGACAAAAAATTATGGGGTGAGAGAGAATGAATGGCATTATTTGGACCCTTGGAGCCAGCTATACCTGACATTTCAGTTGCATAAGTTGGAAATTTTTATTTAGGTTTAAGCCACTCTGTGTTGATTTCTGTCACTTACAACCAGAAAGATTTTGATTCACCCAGATGTTCCAGGTCCATTAAAGAAGTCAAAACAGGATGTCATTCTGGCTGATGCCAACCAAGTTCAACCAAGGAAACAGAGAAGATTGTAGCTGGACAGAAGGTTTCCAGATTATTGCCAGAGCTGATGCCACAGGGCATCCTGCAGGAAGCCAGAGGGACCAGTGACCAGGCAGTAAGGTGTCACTGCATCATGGCATGTTTTTGCCTCCTGGTGGCCAGAGAGACATACTTGATGGCAGCCCATACTATGTATCAGGGATAGACACAAAGCTCAACATGCCTCCTCCCAACTGTAGCCTTTCACGAGGGCCAGGGGTCCAGTCTCACGTGGTACAAGTGGCCTCTCCCTCTGGTGCACTTGCCTGCAAAACTTGGGTAGAGACACAAACTGCTAATCCCACCCTGCTTTGTG